ACGAGTCGAAGCGCGAGTTGCGATCAGCTCTAGTCAAGAGCACGTGTGATGCTGCCCTGACAATTACAGAGCTGCAAGTCAGGGACGCGTATATCGCACTTGCCAGAGGCGTCCCCTGCGTTGCCTCGCTCGGACAGACCCCAGGTGTGCATTCGCATTGTACTTGGGGGAAGTCCAATCTCATGACCATTATAAAGCACGGGGATTTGCTGTACAGCACAGAACACAACAGGTGGCTTACAGTGGGCGAGCTGCTCACGGTCCATAACTACCCAGTCAGGGCTGACCTCTCCCATTTCGGGTTGGCGTGCGGGTTCTCTCGCGGAGACATCCTAGACACTCGGACTGCCCACGTAGTAAGGGGGCAAGTCGGTAACGGCATCCCGCTCTGCATGCTAGGGCCAGTTTTCTTCTGGCTCGTTTCAGTACTTGCGTTTGAATCCGTCGAGCGTCATCCCACTGTCTCTGCAGGAAAGCTGGAGAGCGCCTTTTCCCGCAGCAAGCTCAGGAAGGTATCGTTCTTCTAGTGCGATCGCATTAGGAGGGAGGGCGATGAGGAGATAAGGAGGAAGAGGGGATGCCCGGGGATGCGTATGCATGTGTGCGCGCGTGCGAGCGCGGGTATAGCGTGCTCCGAACGCCACAGCCACAGCCTGTAGGCAAGCAACCAGCGACTCGGGGCAAGCTCGGGTGCGAACGAGATAGTCCGCTCCTGCAGTCCTGCAGTGACTCCCCCTCGTCCCCAGCTACCCTCCCTCTCCTCCTCCTTCTTTATGCTCACACTCTGTCCCCGTCATCCCTCCCCCACCACCCTAGGATCCCAAGGGGCCACATGAGGTTCACGACCTGGCTGCAGCACGCGAGCACCCGATTGCATTCAGACCCCCCCCCGGGCCCGCCCACCACCGTTGGGCGCGCGCCGGCGCCGCCCACCGCGGGACCACGGTGACCACGGGTCCGAAGTGCATTGTCGGGGGCTCAGTATGCACCTGCTGATCCTTAACTCTGGGAGAGGGCCCCTCGGAGAGGGCCTCAGTCTGTCTTACTACTCTCCATCTGCTCCTCTGGGACGCCTCCTGCCTCTGCCACTGCTGCTGCTGCTCCGCTAGCATGGCTCACGGGGCCCATGGGGCCCATGGGCTGCCCATCAATTGCAGCACATTTGTTCGAGAGAGGACTGAGGAGTCAAGGGGGGCGGACCTGAGGACTCTGAGGACCTGAGGGCCCCTGAGGGCCTGAGGGCCAGGGGGGGCGAGGGGGCGGAAGAGGAGTGGAGGAGGAACAAAAAGAAAGGAGGACAAGGAAGAGGGGAGGACGAGGACGAGGAGGGACAGGAGGCGAAGGAGAGACGGAGGAGGATCATCAACTTAAAGATGCAGGCAGAACAAACCTAAACGTCCTACCCATGCACCCTTTGGTTTTTTTTCTCGAGCAGTTGCTTTATTCTTGGGGTGTCTCTGTCTGCACTTCTCGTCGCAGTTCGCCCGCCGCCTGCCATGACGGCGCCGCCGCCGCAGCAGTGGGCTGCTGCGTCGGCTGCGCCCTGGCCGTCGGCCTCGGGAAGCGGGCTACCGCTGCCGCCGGTGCCGCAGGTGCCGCAGGTGCCGCATCCAGCTGGGCCAGAGCCTCCTCATAGAGGGCCCGCGGCCGCGGCCGCGGACTGTGACGCTGCCCAGCTTGCTCACGAGCACCACGCGCGCTTCTGGATGCCCTTGGACGGCGTCAAGTTGAAGTCCATCGAAGACAGGTTCGTCCACGAGCACGGGAGCAAGCGTTGGCGTCTGATTCTGAAGACGCACGTGAAGTCGAGGCTCGGACTCGTCTGTCGTCCCCCCCCCCCCCCCCACACACCCCATTTCGCAAATCGCTCCAGGGGTGCCCGGAGCCCCCCAATCGCTGACGCCCCGAGTCAGGGCTCAGATTAGGTTTCCCCATCGGTCATTCGCGCCCCCTCCCCTGCCAACTGAGGCCCTGGTTGGGCTCGTAAAGCCTTGAAGTCTTTGGATGGGGCCTGAGGGCCCCCCCTACCTCCCAACCTTTCGATAAGCAGCCCGCAAGTGGGGTGTGGCAAAAAGGGGGGGGGACTGACAGACAACGCATTCCTACAGGAACGCCAGGCTGCCGTGGTTCAATGATAAGAACGAGCCGTGCATCTTTCGGTCTGAGCACAACCCTCGTTCCGCGCAGAGTAACGTCCGCCTTTACGCCGAGCAGATCTTGCTCAAGGGCGCGACCGCCCTTGTCCGCGGTTCCCCGATTGCGATCGAGAGAGAGGATGGAGGATGGGATATGCTGGCCGGGGCTACGCTTGCGGAGGCATTCTATGCAGCGCACAGAGCGCATCCAACTAACGAGTTTGTCGAAGCTGCGATCGAGGACGGCTACATGGATGCCGTGGTATTGTACAAGGAAACCGTTGCCGATGTAGCCGTGTACATAAAGACTGAGCACAACGAGTACCACATTGGCCAGACCACAACACACATCGAGAAGTACGAGCACTCCGTCCTTGTCGTCGAGCCCGCGTGGAAGGCGCATTGCGACCTCAACGCGATCACAGTCTCAGCGTGTCCCAGGAAGGGGCCTTTCAGCTATCATGTTCAGTATGCCAAGTTCGTGAAGGATAAGTTCAAGCAGATGTTTCCAGAGTGGGATCCGTTTGACAATGCCAAGACGTTCTGGCACAAACTTCAGGGTCTTGGCATTGACGGCTGGTACAAAAATCTATGCGAGACGAGGTGCAGCTTCATGGATAAGAGATTGGACGTCAACTTCCTCCTCAACATGAACAATGCGATCAAGACGATTGTCTTCCAAAAGATGTTCACAGACTTGTACCCTGAAAGCGCTCTCATCGCCGTCTTGAAGGAGCTCCTGCACTTCGCGTTCCCAACGGACCCATTGTTTGACCAGAACGTCGCTGAGGCCTACCCCTTCCTCCTGAGCAACGCTGGGCCTCAGAGTGGGTTGGTCATGATCAAGCGCCTGCTCGCCCCGATCAGCTGCTCCAAACTCTGGGTCAAAGCCGATGAAGACGCCGCCAAGCCGAAGCGCAAGAAGCCCGCTACCAAAGGCAAGAAGGGCAAGGACAAGGACGAGCAGCCAGAGCTGAAGCTTAAGGACATCATCAGCGTACAGACTGAAGACCCCCTGGGCTCTCGGACTCGCGATGGGCGCGAGAAGGTCTTCCTCGACGATATTATTTACACAGTTATTCTTGGGCCCTTGTCGGAGCTGCCTACAGATGCCATTGATTGGAACGGCTGCGTGAGTCGCGGCCTCAGGACTGGGTTCAAGTTCATGCTGACTGGAGCTGTAACCTTGAATGGCAAGTCGTTCAACAAGTGGTCTTCGCTCCGGAGGGAGATTCGCAGTGAGATGGTGAAAGGACACCTCCCCGTCTTGAGCAAGGCAATGAAGATCAGCGAGTCGGGGCCCATCATGGGGGCTGACACCATGAATCCTGATCAGCTCGCAGACGTCATCGAGAGCCGCCTCTTCGGATCCGTCCAGGACGAGAAGATGCTTGACCCGTCGCCGCCGCTGCCGCACTACTTGGACCGCTTCGCAGCAGACGAGAAGTTCACGATGTCAATGGCGTCCAAAATCTGAGACATGTCTCGAGCCACAATGGGGAGTAGGAAAGGACGGGGGATGATGATGAGGAGGGGGTAGGAATAATCGGATGTTGATGAGGATGATGATGATGATGATGATGATGATGATGATGCTGAGGGTGATGATGATGATGATGAGGGGGAGGAGGAGGAGGAGGAGGAGGAAGAGGAGGAGGCCGCAGGCGGAGGAGGAGGGGGACGGAGCTCCCCCACACCCATCGCATAAGCCAACTGACTCCTCCCCGGACTCCTCCCCCTCACATCCTGCTCCCCACCGACCCCCCCTCGTCCCCCTCCTCCTCCTCCTCCTCCTCCGCCTTCTTCTCCTCCGCCGTCCCGTCCTCGTCCTCCTCTGGTTCCTCTTCCTCTTCCTCCTTCCCTTCCTCCTCCTCCCTCCGTTGTCCTCCTCCTCCTCCTCCTCCTCCTCCGCCTCCTCCTCCTTCTTCTCCCACTCCCGTTTACCGCCGGTTACCCTGCTGCTGTCCCCAGGTGAGGCTCTCGCAGAGTGTGAGCACGCCTCTGCACGAGGACTTCTTCAGGCTGGCGACCGCCGCGACCGCCTGCGTTCCCCGGGGGCTGGACGAGCGCATGGCGACGACGACCATCCTCAATGCCATGCAACCTGTCACATTCGATATCTTCCCAGAGAGGTGGGGCAGGTGGGGCCTAGCCGTGCTCAAGGCCAGGTGCGAGAACCCTTCGATGACATCCGATGAGCTGACGTGCGGCCTCATCTCAGGCGGTGGGAATGAGATTGATCGTGTCTTCGGCATGCGCGTTGACTACGTGCTCACCTCGCTGGGCCAGCTCGGGCGCGGCGATGCCAAGGTCACCGAATTGTAACGCTTATCTCCGCTGCTGAGGCCACCCGCGCCAACCTCAAAAGGGCGTCTGGCGTCAGGTCAGGAGGACAGGAATCGGAAGAGCAAGGAGGAGGACAGGGAGTTTGGAGTAGGAGGAGGAGGGCGCGGATAGGAGGATGAGTAAGGAGTAAGGAAACGGAGGAGGAGGAGGAGGAGGAGGAGGAGGAGATAGGAGGAGGACACGGATAGGAGGAGGAGTAAGGCTAAGGAAAGATGAAGAACGAGTAAGGAACCGACGATGCCGCATTACTCCCGGCACTTGGGCGGGCGTACAGAGGGTATCTTCCTCATCCCTCATCTTCCTCCTCCTCCTCCACCTCCTCCTCCTCGTTTCTCCCCCCTTTTTCCTGTATCCTCCTTATCTCGTCCTCGCCTCATCCTACTCCGACTCCTCTCCGCCCCTCCTCCCCCAATCCTCCTCCTACTCCTTCCTTCCTTCTCCTCCTCCTCCTCCTCCTCCTCCTCCTCCTCCTCCTCTCTCCTCCCCCTCTCCCTCCCTCGCTCCTTCGGCCCTCTGTCGATGGTGTCGCCCCGTTTTGGGATTCCGCTCAGGTCACCGACGTGGGCTTGACGCCCCTCGTCAGGGAGCTGCGTAACTGGTCCAAGGAGGTCGCTGTGAAGGACCTTGCCGTGCCTGCGACAGAGTGGGTGAAATGGCGGGGTGAGCTCGCCACTCTCTGCGGTCAGCAGGCGAGGGACAAATCTGCCACAGTGGGGTTCTTGGGGCACATCGCCCAGAGCCCAGAAGCACCGACGCCGAAGCGCAGGAAGGTCATTGTGAAGAGCAGTCCCGTGGTCCTCTCAGCAAAGGGCATTGTTACCACCTCGGTCGAGACCGTCGAGACCGAGACCGCCTTGGCAGCAGACGCCCCCGCGCCGACCACTCCCAACCCCAAGGCGTCCATGGAGGCTGGGGCTGCCGACGCAGCCGCCGTGGTCCCCGCGGACGGGACTGCGCCTCAGGGGCCTCCTAGCGTTGTTGAGGTGGCCACTCAGCAGGTGATGCTTCACGACGCCATCGCCGCGTGGCAGTCGCCTGAGATGGGCCCAGCCACAGGGCCAGTGGTGCGCCTCTTCATGCTGGAGCTGGAAGCTTGGATTTTCAAGTTGACTATCGCCAGTGCAGGCTCTGGAATTGATGATGATTTAGCGCCAGACATCGGCCTCGAGAAGATTCGCCTGCGGTCTGCCACTGACGCTAAGGTACTCACGCTGACCGACCGGTGCGCTCCAGTTACGTTGAGCTTTGCTGGGCGTGTAACGCGTTGCCCTAAGAAGGGTGCGCTTCATGTTTGTTCGCAGTTTGGCATGGACTTCTACTTGGTCCCAGAGGAGACGTCCGACCTGGCCGCCTCGGATACGTTCCTGCCGGCGCGGGCTGTGCCAGAGAAGAAGGGCAAGAACAGCGCGTCCATGGAGTTGGCGTCCAGGGAGCGCACCTTCACCTTCACGTACAGGACCCTACTGAAGCCTGAGATCATCAACACCGCGGTCGCCCTTTGGTCGTTGACCCGTGCTCCCGACCAGCACGGCGGGGCCGACGGCTCGATCGAGCTGACGCGCGATCCCTTCCCAGCTGGCTCGACGACCGTGCAGGCCATCCCCACGCCTGCGCAGCTTCGCAGGCAGCAGGCTTCTGCCGCGGGCGCGGCGCTCAGGGTGCCGCCCCAGTGGACGTCGTGCAAGTTTTTGTTCCAGTGAGTGGTTTGCCACTCGCTTGCAGCTCAGCTCAGCCCTCCTCCTCCTCCTCCCACTCATCTCAACACTTAGAATTCCGCCACCGCTACCATCGTCGTCGTAGCCGTCGCCGTCCTCTACGCATCCTCCGTCCCTCGCTCCGACCCTCCCAGGGTCCCAGGGTTTATGTCCCTCTTGTCGGCCCTGCCTCACTCGTTCACTCGTCTTTCGCAGTCCTCGTCCTCCTCATCCTCTTCCGCCTCTCGCACTGCACCGATGCGTCATGTACGATCGGTAGCTGAGCTGAGCCCTGTGCATACAGTTTGACAATCGACCTGCCCCCTGCTGCCCCCCTAGGGCCTCGGCCGCCATGGGCGCGGGGCGGTCCCAGCCCACCACCATCGCGCCCCCGGGCGCGCGAGCGCGCAAGCCGACTGCACCTCTCACCTCCCTGGCTCCCGCGGCGCCCAGGGGCCCATGACCTCTGGACACAAAGTCCTCCCCGCATCCAGCGTCGCCGATCTCATCGTTTGTCTTCGTCCTCCTCCGTTCCTCCCTCCTTCAGCTCCCTCATGGGGCAGTGGGCGCGTTGGGTGAGATGCGTGGGGTTACGAGGACGGGGGAGAATGTAGAGAGAGGCTGCGGCTGCGGCGTGCCTCTCTTTTTTCCCTACCTAGGCTCTGCCTAGAAGGGTTCTTACTCTCTTAGCTTAAAGGGGCTGGGCAGTGCTAAGCGCCCCGGGCGGTTCCCCCAGTCCCCTGGGGGCAGCGAAGGGCCGCCAGAGGCCGCGAGGCCAGGTATTCTCCACGAGTATTGGGTTTCTGCCTTGCTTTAGCTTTAGCTTTAGCTTTAGCTTTATCTTTAGCTTTAGAATTAGCTTAGCTTTAGCTTAGCTGTAGCTTAGCTGTAGCTTAGCTTTAGCTTAGCGTTTCGCTTAGCTTTTCGCTTAGCGTTTAGCTTAGCTTTAGCTTAGCTTGAGCTTAACTTGAGCTTAACTTGAGCTTTAGCTTAGCTTTAGCTTAGCTTTAGCTTAGCTTTAGCTTAGCTTTAGCTTAGCTGTAGCTTAGCTGTAGCTTAGCTGCTGCTCAGCTTTAGCTTAGCTTTAGTAGGGGTTCCAACTCCTAGGTAGGGTCGCACTGGGATAATTGTTTTATCTCTCTCTTTCTCTCTGTATCGTTATCTCTTTCTACTTCCACATCTTTCAACTTTCACCTGCCTTGGCTAGGATATATTAGGATAGGACTGAGTGAGGGTGAGTCGCAAGGTCGTAAGATAGACAAGGTGAGCGGCAAACTAAAGAGCAGGGGGACGACGATAACAGAGGAGGAGGAGGAGGTTGGAGAGGACGAGACGGAGGAGGAGCTGAGGAGGAACAATCCAGATGTGCCAGGTGAGGAGGGGATGCAGGAGGAAACGGAGGGGCCGACAAGGACCAGGAGGAGGAGCTAAGGAGGACGAGGATGAGGATGAGGATGAGGAGGGCGGACGGAGGAGGAGGAAGAGGGGTGGGAGGAGGAGGAGGAGGAGGAGGAGGAGGAGGAGGAGGAGGAGGAGGAGGAGGAGGAGGAGGACGAGGAGGAGGAGGAGGAGGAGGATGAAGGAGCCTGAGGTCCGTCAGGGGTGGTTGGCCGCCACCGTCCTGGCAGAGGCCCCTTTCAGGACCTCCGCGCGCGACGCGTGCCCTGTCAATGGAAGACCGCCCCAGCGCACAGCGAGTTCCACCCCCATCAGAGGGGGAACGCATCGCCCATTCATGAACGTGGTTTCGTCAGGGGGGGCCGATCGCAAACCTATCGGCGACGCATCGCCGATTCCAGGTCGATGCTTCCTCCCCTGAGCCGGTCCCCCCTTGCGTTCCCCCACAATGGAGGCCCTAAGGATACAGGACACGTGATGCCTTGTGTATTCTGCCAAAGTTGCCAAACAGGTCATCATAGCGTTTCAGTTGGACCGTCCCGAGGCCCGAGAAACCAGCCCCCTGAGAGGCCCACCGCGGCGGCAAACTAGCCACAGCGGCGGCGCATGTCTGGTCGGGGGACCGGGGACAGAAACAATACCCATTGGTCGTTGAAAGTGGGTATTTGGCGCCTTTCTACTTCAGTCAACGAGCATCTTCTCCTTTTCCGTGATCTTTAGGGGGCGGGCGGAAGCCCAATCTGCTTCCAACGCCTTTCAACAGCCACGCGCAGAGGGGGTAAGGGGGGGGGCTTCTTAGAAGCACCCCTGCTTCTTTGAAGGCGCGGGCCTTGTCTGTAGATGTAGGACCAGCGCATTCAAACAAGCAGCTTCCTTCTGAGAAGCCTTCCCCCCTCACCATACCCTCTTGGGCGCGCCGCCAAAAAACACCGACAGCAGCTCCTGCCCAGTCTGAGCTCGCTGTCGGTGTCGCCGCGGACGTTGCCCGCAACAGCGGCCGCTGTCGGTCTTGCGCAGCGTCTGCCGTTGGGCATTTATCAGTGTTTTCCGTTCCCAGTTCGAGCTTGCTAGTTCAGATTTCCAATGTTGTGATTTGTTCACGCCGTGGGGCCCCGCAGGTTGAGACCACTTCCCCAGGACATTCGTTTCTCGTTCCTGCCAGCGAAAGTGGATTTCTTGCTCTCTATGGACACCCCCGCGCAGGAACATCCTGACCCCCTTCCTCTTCTTATCTTATCAGCATGATTCATCGTCATTGCCGTCGTCATCATCATAAGTCAGTGAAGGAAGCATGTCGTCTGAATGTTCTCCCATCGTAGGCTTCCTTCGTGAGCCACGCTTCCAGATCCATTTTGATTCAAGGCGCGTCAGGTGTGTGGTTTCGCTGCTGCTAAGTGCACCAGACGGTATTGTGCTGTCTGACTGCGGCCCTCCTCGAAAGGCGCCTGGCGTAGCGAAGTGTCCAGGAGAGGTTGGCATGTCAGTGTGCGTATTGTCTCTAAACGGCGAGCCGCTGGAAGTGGATGGTTTGGATGACGCAAGCTCAGTTGCCGATGTTCGTGTGCTCACGGCTGCCGCACTGGGCTGCAGCGTTTCTTGTGTCAAGCTAGTGCTCGCCCAGAATGCCGCAGATCCCTTCGATAATTGTCTGGAGGACGACAAGGTGTTGGTAGACCTCCCAGCCACACAGTTCACAGTAATCAGGCAATCATTGGACGTTTCTCTGGTGGAGCTTACATCAAGTGAGAGCAGCGGATACGACGACGGCCAGACTGATTTTTACAAGTCGACTTCTTTGTCATATGGTGATTCCATCATTTGGCACAAGTCAAGTCACCGAGCAGTCCATATCGGTGGCTGGGGCGGAGAAACCCATGTTGCAGAATTGTCCGCAGATAAGATGGTGCTCACTGTTCTGACTGGGCGCGTGCAGAGGGAGTCCGGGGAACTGTATGGAAGTTCCGACACATCCGCGCCGAGGATGGAAGTGTTCAGTGTCGAAGAGATGGTGGCATCCAAAGGATTGCTCTGACGGCTGGCTGGAGGCGTCCGTCGGCAAGCCACCAAGCATTATTGTTCACCCGGCCTGTCCATGACTGCGTCTCTTTCTCTGTGGCCCGTTGGCTCCCCGGGTCCTGCAGGCTCCAAGGCTATCACATCGCCAAGTCAAGCAACACACTGGACGCTGCCCTGGGAGCCAGGCCCGCCTGCGGTAGTCGACAACAACAGCATCATCGTCATCGTTTTCACGCACACAATTACGGTAGGTTCGTGTCGTGTCGACCGGCGGCGACCCCAGCGCGGGCGTTCAAGGTTGAACGCCGCCGGCGACCCAGAATCGGTTGATGTTGAAGGATCGGACGTCTCGGAAAGGGCCGATCGTTCAAGGTTGAACCATCCCCGAGGTGACAGAAACCATCGTTGGGGTCGACACGACGCAAACCTGCCGTAATCACCCACGCACTCAGATATTCCTACGGTGGGGACTCGCGCGGTGGCCTCGTCTGTGCGTGAATGGCGAGGATTTCCCGAGCGGGAGCCGCCTCCCGCGAGAGGTCCGCAGCTCTCAGTGGTAGTCCGGGGCGGCCAGCGGGGAATCTGGAAAAACAGGTTCGGTGACACCTGGAAGCCTGAATCGCGAGGAAGTCCCGAGCGGGAGCCTCGTCTGTGAGTGAGTTGCGAGAGCGTCTCCCGCTGGAGCCCCTCCCTGAGGGGGCCCGCAGATCACACTGGTGATCCGAGGCGGCCGTCGGAAAACGACGTACAAAACAGGTCTGGTGACACCTGGGAGCCTGAATCGCGAGGATGCCTCGAGCGGGGGCCTCGCCTGCGAGCGAATTGCGAGGACGTCTCGAGCGGGCGCTCCCCCCTCTGCGGGGCTTACAGATCATAGGTCAAGTCGGTAATCTGCGGCGGTCGTCGGGAACCCTGGTGAAAAAAAATACTGTGGAGCTGGGTCTCTTGGGTTGCGATGGTTTTCCAATGGAAAGCGTGACGTGCCCACACCAAAGAGCCATGGACGTCCTGGGGTCTCAGGGTTGGGTTTCTTCTGGGTGATTTCGTGTGCATCGGCCTCCACTGCAGGTTTGGTGACACCTGGGAGCGAGCACCCGAGACTCGAGTTGTCGAAGGAGAGAAACCGCTACAATGAACGTTTGGCGCTTCGCGTGAGTTTCTTGGATCCGCGCTGGGCCCCCCGGGCGGCGCCTCCAGCGCAGCCCCTGGCGCGCTCCGCGCGTTAGGGAGGGGGGTCCAGCGCAGATCCGAGAAACATCCACGCGGAGCGCCCAAAGTTTATGTTTATGGCGTTGTCTTCTTGTTCTACTTTGGATGTAGGCTCCCAGGTGTCGCCAAACTTGTATTTTACAATACTTCCCGGTGGCAGCCTTATGTGATCTGCGGCCCCCATAGGGAGTGGGCTCCCGTTCGAGACTTCCTCCTTCACTCGCCGACAGAGCTCCCGTTCGAGACCTCCCCCGTATGAGCGCATGAGTGTGTGTGTGTGAGTGATTGAGTGAGTGTGTGTGTGGGCAGTGGTGATGATGAGAGTAGTGGTGGTGGTGATCGTGTTGATGATGATGGTGGTTGTGGTGATGTTATGATGGTTG